GAGAGAGAGAGAGAGAGAGAGAGAGAGAGAGAGAGAGAGAGAGAGAGTTGAAGCAGAGGTTTGTTTACCCAGGTTTGGTGCTGCTGCTCCTGCTGGTGCAGCTCGGTCTCGTCCACGCAGGGTCGGTCAAGGTTGAACCACAGGGACTCCGTTATCCGGGGGAAGAGCGAGGGGAAGAGCGTGGACATGTCTTGTCTCACGGGGACAACAACAACAACTAACACGGCGTCAGTCAGCAAGCCTGTGTGTGTGCCACCTTTACACAAACAAAGCAAAGCGTTAAAACCCGGGTCTACCAGACACGTAAACACCGACACATTGTAACGACACGGGAGCGGTGGAGGGAAACGGTAAGTTAACGTAACACATCGTTGACGTACGATCTAAAGTCTTCCTGTTTTATTACATTCAAACTCTAAAATATAAAGTCATCCCCGCTATTCTTCTACGTAAAATACTACTTAATATAATATGATATTTTACTCGTAAATCAAGGCTAAATTATAGATAGTGTAGCCTAGGCACCTGCCAATCTCTCGCTCCAGCTTTTCAAAATTTTCAAAACAAATTTAACCGGAAACTCCTGGTGTTCACCTACCAATATTTCCGGAGTCCTCTATTCCTGTGTCCCTGCACAATGGTTCCGCCTGGGTGGCAGCAGTAGAGACAGGAGAGTGAAGCTGTAACAAAAAATGTACTTTGCTTGCTTGCTTGGTATGTTGATATCGATATTAATGATCTGTGTAATACAGATATTCACCAATGTATGTTTTGCCCCATGAATACTGATAAATATTTCAATGAACAGTGTGGGAGATAACTGTATTTGTGTCTTGAAATATATTTGTGTAAAATCATATCCATAATTTGAAATGTTTTCATGTATATTCACATTCATACTGTGATATTGGCCTGTGTCATTGTCTTATGTTATTCACATCACTGAGGCAGGGTGTTTGTGCTCTTTTGGCCGCCTCAACCTTGTAACCTTTTGACACGTAAAACAAAGTTCAATCTTTGAAGCAACTACTTCACAAGTGTGTGCATGGGAAACAGGATGCTCTGTCAGGGGGTGAAAGAAAGGGGACTGATGACAGGTATAGGGGAAATCTGGAAATAATTACGCCGAGGGCGGCAATCTATGAAGGCCAAGGGACTAGGAAGGAACAGGGAGTCTAGGATCCGCTGAACGTAAATATGCACAACTAAACCAATCTCTTCTCGGGAGGATTTGCTTATCAATCGTCTCTCTGTTTCAGATGCTTCGTTGTTCCCTTGAGAGTAGGGAAGTAAGCATAGTGGCCTATGGAGCCTGGGTGAAGATGGGGTCACTCTGACCTGCTTCCACTGCAGGTCACAGCAGAGGAAGACGAGTGGGGAAGGAGACTGTGATCAATCAAAAACCCTCTGTTTGACATGTCCGTTGTACACATTGAAGCTTGTCTATTTAGGGGCTTAGGGACCGAGAGCAAAGCAGGAACCTGGGGAGGGGGGAGACCCAAGGGACAGATAAAGTCACCCCAACCTGGGGCAGAATGGGAGTATAAAGTGGTGTACATTGCTATTGTGAAGTTAGTTGATTCCGGACAGCTCGGTGTACTTGTACTCTATGTGATGCAAATAAACCTTCGTGAACTGAAGAAAATCCAATGTGTTCTGTGGGTGTTCGTTACTGAGTTCCTAATAGTGAGATCCTGTGGTGTCTCACCACGAGTCAGATAGATAACAGTTATTAAGCCGGCTATTAGGTAGTCATAACGTCAAAGAATCTGATCATCAACAACAAAAATCAACCTCTACAAGTGAAACTTATCAATTTCCATTATTTTTACACTGATTAAAGGAAAACACTAAAGCATCAAAGTAGGGCTGGTGGATTTATTCAAATACAGACATTTAAAAATGAAAACCCTTATTTGTATTACTCATAAATGAAATCAAACAGTACATTGACACTGATCTTCTATTCAATCAATAAGAAAGCAGCTGACACGATTGATATGTCTCTTTTTAAGAAGTTTCATGAGGACTTGTAATTTCTGCAACTTCTGAGATCAACACACCCACACACACACACATTTACATGTGTAAAAATGAGCCACCCACTTCAAAGTGCTTGTAATGTGAAAAGTTTTAGTTGAATCAGGAGACCCCCAACACAGACAAAGCAAAAACTTATCTTAACTGCCTTCTTTTTCCTCTTCTTATTGCCTTCCCAGAGGTCACACTGCCATTATACACCAAATATTAACCGCATGTGTGTATGTAAGAAAGAGCAGGGTAGACCTTGAGATAAGACAAACCCTCCTCACAGTAAAATGTAATAAAACTCAGATTATTACATACTACGCCCCTTTCTCCTTCCTTTATATATCTCAAACGCTCTCACATACCAGAGGCACTGACACATTGGGACAGACTTTGGACTTGAAGACATACACACATACATGCACAGATGTGTGTTTTCTAAATCTAGCTTGGTCTTACGAAGTGTATAAGAGGTGACTGGACTGAAGACGCTGATTTGAAGGATCATCCCGTGTGGAAGGAATCATCACAGAATCGAACAAGGTAAAATGAATCTGTTCATCATTGCTTGTAGAAATATTCTCATTGGTCTCAAAATAAGTTGGTTACAATTACAAATACATGTATTTAGGCTGTAGGGTAAGTTTTAATTACTTTTAAATGAAGGCCTAAACTGTTATTCAACGGTCATTGTTGTTGCTTTCCCTTGTGTTTTTAAGTTTACATCCAGGAGAACTGTATAGTATAAACATGTAGTTTATTTAGAACAGTATCTTTGCAGTGATTAACACATTTTTCAGATTTTTGATAATTTGTCACATAGAAATGAAGAAGAAATTTAATGAAGAGTTGCAAGAGGGTGGTTTTTAAAATGTTTTGTTTTTTTAAGTCGTTACGTTTTAAGAGGTTAAGTAATGCATCAGTATAGGCACTATGTCAGAACCTGAATAAGAGATGTTCCAGTGGACTCAATGGGCCAATGTCCATCAGATATTATGCGAGTTAATAATTTAAGCAATTATGAGTTAACATCATTTCCTCCAACACCAAAGAAGATTGAGTTGATACTGGATGTAAATAGGTTTTGTTTGAAACAGTTTTATATGGTTCTGGTATTTGAAAATGAAAACACACATTTCTGTCCAGTTTGTTCCAAAATAATTTGTGTGAAGAATGTAGGGTCAACAGATTGAGTTTTGTTGTTAACTTTTGCCAGACTTCTTTGCTCAGTTTTGAGTTGTTGTACTTTAGATTGTAATTTTCAAAAAGAAAATTATTTTAAAATGTCATTGATCCTATAGAACCTCTCTTCTCTGCTTCTCTGATTAAAACAATCTCTCAATGTCTGAGTTGTTTTGTTCAAAGAACCCTTGGAAGTGGGAGTAATTGTAGGGGGAAAAACATGGAGAAAACATTATCTTAAGAAACTTGTTTTTTGAAAAGGTGGGGCTAAAGGGGGAGTCTTTAAGCTGTTCAACAAGCAACATGTTTTTTGTTATTATAATTTTTAGCAGTGCAATAGATGCAGATTAATTACAGTGCAGATCATCTTGATCAAAACTGATACAAACTAAACCGAAAATTCCCACAAAGAAAGCTGAAAAAATATGGGGAAATCAAACAAAAAGCAATTCTGCACAAGGACTGACCAGGGTGTGCCACTTTAAGTTCAGGCCCTTTGGACAGCGACTGTGGCCTGTTTGTGCCAGCAAGGTCCTCCTACTTCAGAAAATAACTATTAGCAATCATATTACTATCAAACAACCCATACAGCTGCTGCCTAGATGGTATAAAAGTGACCGAGGTGGCCAGAGTGCTGTGTGTGTCTCACTCAGATCAGAGGTAACAGGGCACGCCTGTCACATGGATTTAAACATTTGACCAGTTCTGTTCATCGGCTGTCATCCCATTATTTTTCCCACCCATTGATGTACTGTATGTTAATGCCTCCCTGCTGTAGAGCCATGTGGTTTGTCCTGGCCTCGCTACTAGCCCTCTCCAGTGGGGCTCTGTCTCTGGACCAACTCAACATTTGTATGGACGCCAAACACCACAAAAAAGACCCTGGCCCCGAGGGACAACTTTACCTTCAGGTGATGAACACAAAAGTCCACAGACATCAAAGATGAAACAAATCAAATGGGGCAGATGCTGGGAGATTCAAATATTTTCTTCTCATCAGAACAATGTTTTTGGTTCAACAGCATAAAGTGACCTCTCTTTCCTTCTTCCTCTTTCCAGTGTGCTCCCTGGCGTGACAATGCATGTTGTACTGCCAACACCAGCACAGAAGCCCACGAAGACAACTCCTACCTGTACAACTTCAACTGGAATCACTGTGGCGTCATGAGCAGCCAGTGCAAGAAACATTTCACCCAGGACACTTGCTTCTATGAGTGCTCACCTCACTTGGGACCCTGGATACAAATAGTATGTATTGTGCTCTCAGTCTCTCTTGTATGTGTGTCAGGACCGTTAATCCACTTACAGAATGATGTCATTATTTTCTTATCTTTGTAATAAAAAGAGAGCCAGCTAATTAGTCTTTGTAATGTGCCCCAGTTTGATTTGTGGGCACCTTTTATAACTCTCCCGACACATCATGGCATTGCACCTGCGATGAGTTTTATTCTAAAAATATATCCCTTTTGTTCTGAAATTATGGCTCATTCACACTCATCAATTATATTTATAGGTGGATCACACCTGGCGTAAGGAGCGTATCTTGGATGTGCCTTTGTGTAAGGAGGACTGCCATAGTTGGTGGGAAGACTGCAAGAATGATTACACCTGCAAAACTGACTGGCACAAGGGATGGGACTGGAGCTCAGGTAAGCACACACACACACACACACACACACACACACACACACACACA